TCAACCAAACTTTGGTGAGTTTTCCGATATGAGTGAATGGTTCATTGAAAGGGATATTGATGAAATTCGTCAAAATACCATCATGTGGAAAGATTGCAATACCCAAGATGCAAGAAGAAGGTATACATCAGAAACCTTGGTCCGCTGGTCCAAAATTTATCATCTTCTATATTTTAATTCTGTTCGGTTTCTTGTAATCAATCCTATGCATTGCCTATTTCTAGGCATTGCTAAATGGATCGTGAAATTATAGATTGATGAAGGTCGTTTAATACCGCATGATCTTGTGCTAATGGAGGGTCGGGCTAAAAAAATGCAAATTCTGGTAGATATTGGTAGAATTCCTTACAAAATTGCAACTGGTGAAGAATTCTCAAGATTTAAAGCAGACCAATGAAAGACTTTTATTCTGGTGTATGCAACATCGGTTACTTGAGACTTACTAGGCGAAAATGACCGTCGAATTCTTACCTATTTTGTTCGTACATGTTCTATTTTGGTGTGCTGAATTGTGTCCAAGAATGGTTTAGAAGAAGCTCACCAATCTTTTCTTAAAATGGTGAAACTTATCGAAAAAAATCATAGACCTGAAAAAATAACGCCTAATTTGTACTTATGTTTACATATATATGAATGCGTTATGGACTACGGGCCATTGTATGTATTTTGGTGCTTCGGTTACGAAAGAATGAATGGCTTATTAGGTATGTTGGATTCTAAAACCGTAATAGTCATATTAAAGCCGATACTTAATAAGGATTTTATAATTTGGCTTGCTGGAGAAAGGGACCAAATTGACAAAAAAAAAATTCTTCATTTAAAATTAATTATCTCGTGAACTATCGATCAGTTTATATGATTTTGGTATCATTAGATTCATCTCGATAAGACGAATTTAATGGTACCAAAATCATATAAACTGATCGATAGTTCACGAGATAATTAATTTTAAATGAAGAATTTTTTTTTTGTCAATTTGGTCCCTTTCTCCAGCACTAAGTTCATTTGTTAATAGGGTTATTTAACAGTAGCAATAGAAGAATCGAACCTGAACTGCTTAAAACTATGCAGTATTTTTCTCTATTGGATGAGCTATCGACACACACTGAAGGTCATTTACAAACTTGTTTACAGTTCATTGAGCAAAAAACAATAAATGGCAGTCTTGCTATTCATGATGGAAATGACTGCCGGGGTTTCTCTCAATGTCTGTAAACGTTGAAAAAAATTCTGATACAGGCTCTGAAGCATTTTCGGGAGAATTATTGGGGCCAATGAAGGAGAAACAAAAGCTTCCGAAAGAAATATCGGCATTGTTAACGAAGTATTACAAAAATGCATATAATTTTAACTTCGTTACTTTAGCTGAAATGCATACAGATAAATCGGAGGATATACCAGTATTATCTACAGTAACTATTTATGGAAGAATAAAGATTGGAGATGAAGTTTTTGGGTCTACTTATTCGAAGAGACACAAAAAGTCAGCCAAAATACTCGCTAAGTTTATATTGGATGACAATACTACCGATATATATCCTGGTGTCATTCAATATTACTTTAAACACAAAATACAACTACCGGAAGGTCAAAAGGAGCATATACTAGCATTTGTTAGATGGTACTGACCTGTTAACAACCCAAGGACAAGATTTCATTGTCAAATCGATGGTATTTGTAACGTCGAATTATAGAATAAAGATTTCTATAATTTAAGTAGGGATTGCATAATTCTGGTGCACAATATATTAGGTCGATTTATTTCGGGGACAGTTAAAGTCAGTAAAAAAACTACGAAAGAATATATGTCGGTTATTCCTGTTAATAGAAAATTTTATATTTAAAATAAGACTTATAAATTTGTATGATAGTTTACCGATATTTATTGATAGCATTTTAGTATACCAATTTATATAAGTGCAATATCAGAGCAATATTAATATACTGATATTTATATCGAAATGATTCGATAATTTACTGATTAACTGCTGATACCTATTTAGTATATCATATTTGCCGATATGAATATCGGTAGTCCTGATATTTATCTGATTCGTCTTTACTACTATCGGTTAAATATCAGTTACTGATATGTTCCCGATATTTCTCCGGCTGTCCTTATCCCGATATGGCTTTATTCGACCTGTGAGATAGGATTTGACAAATTTTATACTATTCAATTTGTCTTATTGAGACAAATTGAATAGTATAAGATTTGTTAAATTCTGATTGCTAGATCATGAGATATCTTTGATTTAGTAAATAAAGATTTTTTTCGAACATTATTGTAATTTATAAAAAATTGATTAGCTAATTATTATATACATAGACACGACTAATTGATCTTTTTCAAATACACTAAAAAATTTTTACTATTACATAGTATATGACAAAATTCTTTAAGTTCATTTATACTAGATTTAGAGTCTATTTAGTATTATAATTATAGGTTTTAATTATAAAATTATTCACAAAAACTTTTTGTTAAAGATAGAAGGTGGTTTTCTATATAGATTTTAAGTTATAAGTGATTTTGAACAAACTAAATATTTGTTTTGAATATTTTGATCATATAATATTACATCAAATTGAACTTTATTATTGGCTTATTTTTATCAATCATCATGTGACAGTAAAAATTACTTAGTAATTTTGTTGATGATTCTGAGGTAGTTTGACCAATTGTTTAATTTATATGATTGATTATTTTTGTACTTTTATTAGACAGATTAGTTCTAAGTTAGAAATTTCAAGTTTAGAAGTTTGTACTATTATGTTTGTCTACTATGCTGTTTTTACAACAGGAAAGTCTCTGAATATCTACCAAATTATAGCAATTTTGGTATCATTAGAATCTCAATAATAGTTTCTGCAACTTAAGTTAGAGGCTAAATTTGTTTTTTCTTAATAAAATATTTAGTGATTGTTATTTAAAACTTTAATTTTTTTGTAGTTACAAAATCATATAATCTGGTAGATGTTTAGAACCTCTCTAGCTTATCTACAAAATTTTTCAGAAGTCTATAAACACATACAGATCATATGATTTTTGCATATACCGAATATCACATGATATTAAATATATATAAGTTATTAAAATAAATTTTTTTTACTTTTTAAACAAATTTTCTTGACAAATTTCTAATTGAATTCGATGAAAATTTTTTTAAATAAATTCTATAAACAAATAGAATTTATTTATAAAAATTTCTATCAAATTTTATCAAGTAGTAGTTGAAAAAATTTTGTCTAAAGTGTTAGAAAATTTTTATATTAAATATAGTTGCAACAAAAATTTTTTTAAACTTTGAATAAATTTCTCAATGGGTTTAGTTTTTTCATATATCTGTATAATTGTGCACCCTATGATTAACCAATCAAAATTGATCATGTAAAAATATAATCATCGCTTATAATTGGCCAATCAAAATTAATTACAACTTATATAAAAAAATTTAAGTTTTTTTATTATTAATTAATAAAAAAAAAAAAAAGCACAATGCAATAAACACAAAAACAAAATCATATTATGAAACTAATACTAATGCATAACTAAACTAATATACACAAAAAATAAGCAGCACAATATCAATGATTTTAATGATAAAATTGGTTTAGACAAAGAGAAGTGTTAAGACGAAATCATGACTAGAAGAGAAATGTTAGTAAATATAAAAAAAAATTGAAATATAAACAACTCAAGCGATAAACTTATCTGATTCCAAATACGAAAACGATTACAAAAATACTGAAGGAAACAAAGATACTGAAAAAAACAAAGATACCAAAGAGAACGAAAATACTGAAGCGAATTATGCCAAAGAAAACAAAGATACTGAAGGAAATGAAGATACTAAAGAAAATGAAAACACTAAAGAGAACGAAGACACTGAAGAAAACAAAAATACCAAAGAGAATATGAACACCAAATAAAGTGAAAATACCAAAGAAAGAAAAATATCAAAGAAAATGAGTATACTGAAGAAAGCAAGAAAATAACCACAAAAATTCCAAGAGCAACAAAATGCACCACTCATAAAGGTGACTAAATCTACTCTAGAAGAAGAAAAAGCATATTAATTTAAAAAAAAAACAAGAAAACAATGAACTCCAAAAAAAAAAAAAAAAGAAAACAAAGAAAAAAAGAGAGAAAAAAAAAGCAAAAAAAAAAGCAAAAAAAAAGCAAAAACAAAGAAATAAAAAAAAGAAACTAAAAAAAAGAAATGAAAAAAAGTGAAAAAAAAGTAGCGAAAAAAAAAACAAAGTAAAAAAAAGAAGCAAAAAAAAGCAAAAAAAAGGAAGGAAAAGAAAACGAAAAGAATAATATACAAAAAAATAAAAAATAAAAAATAAAAAAAAATAAAAAAATGAGAAAAAAAAAGAAATGAAAAAGAAAAAGTGAAAACAAAGTAAAAAAGAAGAGCCAAAAACGAAGTAAAAAAAAGTAAGTAATGAAAAAAAAAACAAAGTAAGTAAAAAGAAAGGAGCAAAAAGAAGCAAAGAAAAAGGAAAAAAAGAAAATAAAAAGAATAATATGCAAAAAAAAAAATTTGAAAAAAAGAAACAAAGAAGAGAGAAAAAAAAGAAGAGCAAAAAAGAGAAATGAAAAGAAGCAGCAAAAACAAAGAAGTGAAGAAAAAGAAACTAAAAAAAGAAATGAAAAAAATGTGAAAAAAAGTTAGTGAAAAAAAAAACAAAGTAAGTAAAAAAAAAAGCAAAAAGAAACAAAAAAAAAAGAAGAAGGAAAGCGAAAAGAATAACATGCAAAAAAAAAAAAATTGAAAAAAAAAGAAAATGAAAAAGAGAGAAAAAAAAAGAGCAAAAAAGAGAAACAAAAAAGAAGTAGTGAAAACAAAGAAGTGAAGAAAAAGAAACTAAAAAAAAAAACAAAAAAAAAGTAAAAAAAAGTAAGTAACAAAAAAAAAGAAACAAAGTAAGTAAAGAGAAAGAAGCAAAAAAAAGCAAAAAAAAAGAAAAAAAAAAAGAAAACAAAAAGAATAATGTGTGAAGGCAAAAGCAGCAAAGCAAAGACAACAAAGCAAAAGCAACAAAGCAAAAATAGCAAAGCAAAAGCAACAAAGCAAAAGCAGCAAAGTGAAATAGCAAAGCAAAAACAGCAAAAGCAAAAGCAACAAAAGTAACAAAAGCAAAACAAAAGCAACAAAACAAAATCAGAATGATTATTAAAATACATAATTAAATTTTACTAGCTAATTATATAGGAATGTATGATCATGAGGTGCACAAAAAACATTTTCTCTTTCTTGATAACTATCAGACAAAATTCAATAAAATTTTTTTAAGTGAATTCTAAACGTTTATATATTTAATTTAAAATTTTATATCGAGTTCTATCAAATAATTTTTGAGAAACTTTTGTTCAAGGTTTAGAAAAATTTTTTTTATAACTATTTTCTTTAAAGGTGGCAGAAATTTTCTACAAAATTTCTCAATAATTACTTGATAAAATTCGATAAATTTTTTATTTTATTTTTTTTAACATATTCTGCTACTATTTTATTAAGATATAAATCAAGCAAAAATTACAAGAATTTTTAACTAAAGTTATTATCTATTAACTACAATAAGTGATTTACTTAACTTAAAAAAGCTTAGATGTGATATCATCTAGTAACAGTTTGGCTTCCTCTGGGCTTCTAACTTACTAGAAGCATGAATTCTTCGATCATTAATTAGTGCTATATGCTATATTAATATTATCTTTTCTTTTATAAAAGTGAAGAGACCAATATAAGAATCAAAAGGCAAAAGAAAAAGATGTGATATTTTGATGTCAAAATATAATCTATCTAATCAAATAAAACTAAAAACAAATAATAAGAAAAAAGAAAAACAAAATAAAAGAAAAAAAAACAAAGATAGCACTATTAAACTTGTGCTAGATTGTAAAAATTATATAGTACTACTAAATAATCTAGTCAAACCCTATACTAGTTATTTATATTTATATTTAGAATATTAAAAAACAAGAAAAACCATCTGTTCTTGAATAAAGATCCAAGTTCGAAATTTCTAATTTATTCTAATTTGTCCTCTTTAAAACTTTTATAATACTACTTAAATATAGTCTTTCTATATAATTTTTTCTATTATGCTCTGTAAGCTTTACTGAATCAAGACTCCTATCATGACTATAGAGAAGTAGAAGGTCGAGTATACTTTTATCTCAAAGTAAATATATATACATATACATATCTTTTCTTTTCTGGTAGTGATCATTAGTGTTAATTCTTTAATAAAGATACATTAAATTTCCTACTTTTTGTCAAAATTTTGTAAAATATAGCAAGTGGGGTAGTAAAAAGGAGTTTGGTTTGCAAGTAGCCTTGAACTTTGATAGAGAGAATGTAAAAAACTCGCTTGTTGTTCTTTTTTTTTAAACCAACTATTTTCATTTCATTAATAGAAGCTATGTTTTTATTAAAATTTTTTGTACAAGAATACTACCTGCCAATTATCTTGCACAAAAACACTTTTAACTTGCTTGCTAAATATACAGATGAGTCCAAAGAAAACACGAAGTATTTTGACCTCTGTAAAAACTATTATTTATAGTTGTCTCTTTTATCTTCTTTAACAAGTTTCTGTTTTTGTTAGCCGAAAGTTTGGTTCGAGTGATTGTCAAGGAGAGTTGCTATTTTATTGAATTCGATGAATTTTTTTTTTAAATGAATTCTATTTATTTATAGAATTTATTAAAAAGATTCTAGTATATACTATCAGACTGTTGTCAAGAAATTTTAGTTCAAAGTTTAGAAAAATTTCTATTTTCTTTAAAAATTTTTCACACTTTGAATGAAAAGTTCTAGACAAGTATTTAATAAAATTCAGTAAAATTTTTTTATTGAATTCTACTTATCTATAGAATGCATTTTAAAAAAAATTCTATTGAATTTTATCAGATAGTTGTTGAGAAAATTTGCCCAAAATTTAAGAAAAATTTTACTTTAATAACTTATATATATTTAATATTACGTGATTTTTGATATGTGTAAAATCATGTAATCTGTATGTGTTCGTAAACTTTCTGAAAGAAAAATATACAAACACAGCATGCACTGACTTATCTCCATTATCAGCATAGCAAATAATTGATATAAATACATCAATGTATTTTTAACTTTTTAAATTTTTAAATAAAGATATCTCACTAACTATTTATACAAATTCAATAAACTTTTTTTTTATTTTAATTCTATGAACTTGTAGAATTAAAATAAAAAAAAAATCATCAAATTTTCTTTGATAGTGCTGTTGTACCCCAAATGACAATCCTGTCCCGATTGCTAATTAGGACAGTTCAAATTAAAATTGCCCAAATTTAACCTTAACGTCTGGGCTAATTAGTTTATAATTTTGGCCAGATTGTTATCTGGGAAAATTGTCATTTGGGGCACGACAGTGCTGAGATTTCTTCATTTAAAATATAAAAAATTTTTTATCTTTTTATATTTTAATTCGGTACCAAATTTTCATAATGATATCTTAATAACTATTTAAACAAATTTGGTAATTTTTTATTTTAATCTTACAAGTCTGTAGAATTAAAATAAAAAAAATTTATCAAACTTTCTTAAGTAATTCATTAGCAAAATTTAAATACAGATATATATCGATATATATTGATTTATAGATATATATTAATTAAAAGTAATCGATATATATTGATAAAATAAATATATATTGATATATATCAATAATCAATATATATCGATAAATAGATAATAATCGATATATAACTATTAAACGATATATATCATTATTAAATATTTTGATATATATCGATAAGTGGATAATTATCGATATTTATCTTATATATCGATATGATTCGATATAAGAAAATAATCGATATATACAAATATATATTGAAGACCATCAGAAAATTTTTTAAAAAGATATAAATCGATATATAGCAATAAATCGATATATATCGATTAAAAAATATCAATATATATCGATTAATTCGTTATATACCGATATAAATCATTGTTCGATAAATATCGAACTATGATACATTTTGTTAT